AGGGACCACTGAGGACTATGTCACCACTGACCCAGGGACCACTGAGGACTATGTCACCACTGACCCAGGGACCACTGAGGATTATGTCACCTCTGACCGAGGGACCACAGAGGACTATGTCACCTCTGACCGAGGGACCACAGAGGACTATGTCACCACTGACCAAGGGACCACAGAAGACTATGTCACCACTGACCTAGAGACCACTGCACATCATGCCACCACAAACCCAGGGAGCACAGAAAATTATGCCACTAAACATGATGAGACTCGTCCTCAGGGAACAGCTTTGGTCACAACAGTGAAACCCCACAGTGTCCTGACACCCACGGGCATTATCCTCATATCTCTGGCTGCCACCACAGTCTCTGTGGTGCTCTTTGTAGGACTGGGCTTCATTGTGGTGAGTGTGTGACCCAGGAATGTGCAGGGCACCCTGGGAATGAGGGGTTCTGAGGGTGAGGAGGTGGGTCTGGGAGCTGGGGGCTGAAGCACAGAGATAGCGTGCAGGCAACTACAGAGAGAGCTCCGCAAAGACACAGGGAGAGCGGCAGAGAGACAGGAAAGGAGCAGCTAGCATACCAGACGAAGACGAGGGGAGAGGAAGCTGTGAGAAACAGAGGGAGAAGGAGAGAAGGGGAGGGAAGAGAGGGCAGAGAGCACAAATACAGTAGTAACTTGGTCGGGTAGAATAAGGCGTGAAGCATTTGGTAGAGATGGATGTAGAAAACTGGAAATTTTCCTAGGAAAACTAGGAATTGTGGGATTAGAGAAATGGAAACATTTTGGATGATCCACTCATGTCAGAAATTACATTTTTTTTTTTGTTAGTTACTACTCACTTTGGAGTGCTGCAAAAAAAATTTTAAGCCAAAATTGGGTAGGTTTTTTTGAGCACAACTACTTTATACTGGAGAGACGGTTTGTTGCAGCCCTCAAAGGGGAGCTCTGAGTACTTTTCTGAGGAGATAAAAGGATTCCACGCCAACCTGTGTGCTTTATCTCGCCAAACTATGGTTGGAATTGCCCCCAAAGCAGTGGCATGGGGCAAATTTCCATGAGAGAATGCTTCAAACCATCCCGAGATGAGGATGGTTGGGATCCCAAAGAGATGCACTAAGCACCAGGGTGATCAGTCCACCACATTTATTAGGGGAACTTTTGCACAGAGTGCTGTTGTGTATCCTTGCAAGGGGCAATGAGAGAAAAGGTGCATGTCCGCAGCAAACTCTCATGGTCAACCAGGGAGCTTATATAAGAGTTTGAGGACTGTGGCTCAGGGTGCGGCCAGTTTCTTTCAACGTTTTGAGCAACAACACAGAAACCTTTTTTGGTACCTGGGATTGAGGCCTTGGCTTGGGTTCCAGCCTTCTGGGGAAAACCTGCAGCTGGCTGGGTCACAGAGTGGTCACAGTACTCTGTGATTTTTGGTCAAGACAAGTCAGCTTCCTCTTGCTGACTTTTAGCCTAAAATCCAAACCTACCACTCCTGGCCTGCTTCTTGATGGGGAAGGGCTGGCCCTTTTTGGTCACCAAGACCTAAGGATTAAGTGCCTGCTAAAATTTTAACAAGTGACAGCTTGCAGGATTAGCCAGCTCATGCAGCTCATTAAAGCCTCATTAATTCTTGTTGGTCATCGATGCCACTGCGCACTGACCTCTGCCCCAACAGCTTTGGATTAGTTTGTGCGAGTAAAGCCGAAAGTAATGCATTAGGTGTTCACATTTAGTTCCACCAAAATGGCACCACGAAACCTGACCATTCTGAAGGATACTGCTTATAGGAAAATGAAATTAAAGCTTCCACACACCTTAACTCACACATGAGTCATGTTCAGTATTCACCAGTAAGGAAAGACCTTTGGACTTCACTGCTGTCACAGACTAGACTTCTGATCGTATGGATCATGAAATAAAATCAGACACCCTTGTTCGGGGTTGAAGGATACTCTCCTCCCTCCAAACAAGGCTCCTAAGCATTGGCACAAAGTGGTCACTATCAGTAGCACCTTCTTAATCTTTTATGGAGACTAAAGGAAAGAGATGTTTCAAAAGGCTAGGGTACAGGAAATAAGAGGAGTGTCTGTGTTTTCAAACTTGCTAAGTTTTTTTTTTCCTTGAATTCATTAATTCTTGACTGATTGATTTTATTGTATTATTTTTTAATTAATTTATTTATTTTTATTAAATCATAGCAGTGTACATTAATACTAGCATGGGGTACAGTGTACTGTTTCTGTATACAATTTAAAATAAAATTTTAAATAAAAATTTAAAAATATTTAAATATTTTAAATATTTTAAATAAAAATTTAAAATATTTTTATCCAGCTGGTTAAAATAGCCTTCATGTCTTCTTAGTTATTGTGTTAAGACATTTATATTCTACATTTAGAGAGATTCACATGTACCCTTACAGGATGAACCATAGATGTGGTCCCAGCAATTAAGTTTTTAACTTTTAAACTTTTAGCACAAAATGTTTAAAAATAAGAATTATCTCTATCACTATTCCTTTCCCCATTCTATTTATTTAAATGTTTTTTTCCACCTTCATGACTTCAACATTTTTGGAAATATCTATCTTTAGCAGTAAGTGTCAGCATCTGAAGAAAACAGTGACATACAGAGGAGTCACAGAGCTGGGGAAATGGGCTGGAGAGATCTTGATGAATCACAAACCACCAGGGTTAAAAGAGGAACAGATTCTCCAAATTAAACTTCTTTTCTTTCCTAGAAAAAGTGTCTCCTGCATCCATTAAATCCACCCACTGGGATTATTTATCGTCCCCATGCCATGGACTATAGCGCACATGAAGAGAACCCCAGCAGTGACTACAGTTGGTTCTGATAAAACCAGACCCCATCAGTCTCTGCACGACCATGAAGCATGACATGTGTCCTCAGCTTCCACAATCCTCCCTGACTGCTGCCCTGGGACCACCAGATGAGGTAGGCAGCTGGCCCTGGGAATAAGCATGTCAAGGACACCCAGAGATTTGCCCGTCTGCTCTGAATGTCTCTGTGTTCTGTCCGGCCATGGTTATTTCCTCAGGAAAACTGTCCATACCTATATACCAGTTTTGGTCATGAAAATTATTTAGGGGATACACACAACTCTTTAAGTCTGATCAAATAAATAAAACAAATGCTTGTTTCTGTCTGGGTCACTTCTCTACATTCATTCATTTAACAAAGTAGCATGGGCCCCACACTTTAGGCCTGTCAGTCTATCCAGCTCAGTCTATCTGAACTGAAGGATATGCCTTTCTAGTCTCTCAGGAGGACTGTGCCCAGGCCCTCCTAACACCCAGGCTAAAGGGGCATGTCCACAGGATGATCATTCCACAAATACTCATCAAGCACTGGTGTGGGACCAGCCACCTAGCAAGCAGCTAAGACTCATCTCAATCATGGTGTGAAATGAGGAACATTAACTCCAGACCTGACTTCTATTTCTTTTGTTTTTGAGACAGTCTTGCTTTTGTCACCCTGGCTAAAGTACAGTGGCATCATCATCAGCTCACTGCAACCTCAAACTCCTGAGCTCAAGTCACCCTCTTGCCGCAGCCTTCCATGTAGATGAGACTACTCTGACACTGCTCCTGACACTGCACCTGATTAATTTTTTTTCTATTTTTAGTAGAGATAGGGTCTCACTCTAGTTCAGGCTGGTCTTGAACTCCTGACCTCAAGCAATCCTTCCACCTTAGCCTCTCAAGAGTGCTAGGATTACAGGAGAGAGCCACCACACAGGCCAGAACTGACTTCTGAGATAAAAGAATACTTCCACCTCATGGCGGGAGGGATTTCTTTCATTGCAAAGGCTTCTGAATAATGACTTAGACTGCAGACAAGGCCAGTATTGAATATAACAGCTCCATGAAGAGTTCAGAACAAAAAGCGAAGAAGCTTTAAAGATTGTTGATTTTTGCTTTGCTCATGATTTATTCCACTATTATCAGCATCACCATCACTGTTAATTAATGAAATCATAATATTATAATATAGAATCAGAAATGCAAAATAATAAATTAAAATAGTAAAATGCAGTTTAAGTATGGGCTGGAGTAGTGAGTTGCAGCTCAGTTACGTGAGCTTCTGGGATCCTACTGATATGGCACATTCTTTTAAAACATCGTAGAGAACATGTGGACTTCCAAGAATACCTCCATAAAACCATCTGGGAAAACACTGTATTAGGTCCTGTCTAGTGCTAAGAGTTCAAAAATATGTGAATTATACCCTGTGGGGAGTGGAGGAATAATAATAAAATAATCTCCCTTTTTCACCCCCATAGAGGCAGCAAGCAGCAAAGGGAGAGTTTTGTGATTTGAGCTAGGTGGCAAGAATATCAGTTTATGAAAGAAAGATAACAAAAAAGAGTCTTAGGCAGGAAAGGTGAGATGTGTCTCTATAAAATCTTCCGCCTGCAGTTCAGTCTGGGTTTGGGGGTTGAGCCTTCATGAAAGGGCACTGGCAAGCAAAAAGGAATTCCAGAATCTACCTTGGTCTTCAGTGGGGCAGAACTTTTGCAGTCTCAGCACATGTTCTGTTTGTGTAATAGACAAAGGAATCACTAGAACTACAAATTCTAGCTGCAGAAGTCTGTGTACTTGAATTTTTCTACCTCGAGGACAACTTTGAGCATTATAGAGACCATGAAATCTCTGTCAATAACATAGCTTCTATGACTCTTAGCCTAGAAACTTTGGCATGCAAAAGCATGCTTGCACAAATGTTAGCATATCAAAAGCTTGCATATTCTTTCAGTTGAGTTAATTCCTGCTCCTATCCAATTGGATGGAAATTCAATCTCAGTCCTTCTTGCTGTTCTCCAAAGATTCCAGAGGTATACCTAGGATCAGGGCACAAGGGACACCCTTAAAATCAATAAGTAGCAAATAGCCTGTACTAATTACTCCCAAAATACCCATGACCCATTATGTCAGCTGTCCTGCCCAAAGCATGGGGTCTTTGCTGAGTCAGCCTCCCTCAACTCACCATGTAGTTTTCTCCAGAATGTGGCCACCTCCTCAGGGTGCTACTGGGAGGGGGGCTGTGGTTAGGACCCACAGAGAGCTGCATGGGCATGTGGTCTCTGGGCAGCATTGAAGGTAGAAAGACAAAGAGAGGTTTGGCACCCGTAGCTCAGTGAGTAGGGCGCCAGCCACATACACTGAGGCTGGTGGGTTCAAGCCCAGCCTGGGCCTGCTAAACAATGATGACAATTCCAACACTCCCCGACCCCCGCCAATAAATATCCAGGTGTTGTGGCAGGTGCCTGTAGTCCCAGTTACTTGGGAGGCTGAGGCAAGAGAATCACTTAAACCTAAGAGTTGAAGGTTGCTGTGAGCTGTGACACCACAGCACTTTACCTAAGGTCACATAGTGAGACTCTGTCTCAAAAAAAAA